AGCCCCCTTCTTGCCTAAAACGTGTGACCACCTTTCTCCCTCACACCCCCTCCAAACGTCCCAGCACAACCGTGATAAACAAGGGGGTCACGTGACGTAAACATGCCAGCAGACATGCGGAAGTCGTCACAGACCGGATGTGCGAGGAACTCAACCGGAAAAACGTTATCAGGTCGCGCAGCCCCCTACTTAATGCCTCCTCTGTGTACAGTATATCCTGCAAAAGCGGTCTGAGAACAAGGTTCGCATTCAAAATTGTTTATAGTGTTTACCAATTAAACGGACATTTTTTCAATTCATATAACGAGTTAGAGTAAAGACACGCTGACACATTTGTTACGTATATATATAGTGTTCTGGATAGAATTGGAAAAAATACCTTTAATTTTATCTTCAGTATGAAAGTTATACTTAAGCAGTTTCATGTTATATGTTGCAATATTTTCCCCGTAAAATGGAAAATGAATTTGTATTAATGGATTGAATCTTTTATTAATAATGGGTCGTCTAGCTCCGGACCGGGAGGTCCTGGGTTCAGTCCCAGGTGGGGGCAAGTGATGTAGCTTTTTTCATAATTCCACTCAGCTCCCAGGTCCACTCCAGGTCCACTCCGCCTGCTTTCCAAATGAGTACTGGAGGTAATAGGCCAGCCAGAGCGTGATGCTGACATCACCTCCACCTCCAGTGTCAGATGGTTGAGAAAAATGATGGCTCTTGCCCACCCCCCCTTCCCCATGGGTCTTGATGGCCTGAAAAGGGGACCTAACCTACCTTTTAATAATGAGTGGATATCACATCCACAAAACTCAGCAGTCATATCCTGCAACTCACAACTGGCAACCCACTGAAGCTCAGCAGGTGTAAGCCTGGTCAGTACCTGGATGGGAGACCTCCTGGGAAAGCTGAGGTGTTAGTGGGGCCAGCAGGGGGTGCTTACCCTGAGGTCTATGTGGGTTCTAATGCCCTCAGTATAGGTCCTGACTCTCTGTGGTCATTAAAAATCCCAGGGCGTTTCTCGAAAAGAGTAGGGGTGTACTCGTCCTGGCCAAATTTCCCATTGGCCCTTACCAATTATGGACTCCTAATAATCCCCATCTCTGAACTGGCTTCATCACTCTGTTCTCCTCCCCACTGAGAGCTGGTGTATGGTGAGCGAACTGGTGCACTATGGCTGCCGTCGCATCATCCAGGTGGGGCTGCACACTGGTGGGGGTGGAGGGGATCCCCATTACCTGTAAAAATATTTGAGTGGAGTATCCAGAAAAGCGCTACATAAGTGTAAGCAATTATTATTAATTAAAACAGAACTGTCCAGTGCTACTCCCTCATTTAGTGTATATAAGGTGTAAATGCAATACTACTTAAACTCCATTACAGGCATGACAAATAACAAAGCAAAAATCACAATTAATAAAACTTGATGTATACAGATTTGTTATTATTTCTGGCAAGATACTGTTCTTAGTCCCTTTTGTTCGCTTTTCCGTTGTGGATACTGTTTCTCCGTTATTTGTATTATTTTATGTTCTATAAAACCTGATAAAAATCTGCACAACGTGCACAAATGCCGAAGAGCTGCAGCACTGAAGCCCGGATTCTGCCCAACCAATGAGCGGAAGCGGCCCAAGACAGATGCAGTAACGGGCTCGCATCCTAATCGCTCCTCCTAGCGCCACCTAGGCCAGCAGGTGTGAAGCGCCTGTTAGTTACGCCGCCGATGGTCTTCCAAATCATCTTCCTTGTATGCAGTCGTCGTAAATTGTATTTACAAAGAATGTACTGTACATTTGTCATCTATCCACACATTGTGTAAGCGGGTGTGCACAATTTAAATTATACGTCATTGCTCTTAAGTGCTGTTGATACGCAGTCAGCACAGAAATGCCTATTTATATAAAAATAAATGCCTACTAATGTTATGTTGTTGTGAAGCTACATAACCATATGAGTCGATGAATTATCCGCTGACGAGAGCCAGTGTTAAAGGGTTTATTTAGGGACATGTGTGCTGTGCACCAATGCAAGCGACAGATCATCTGATGGATAGCACAGAATTCGTGTTCACAAAACCAAGGAAGCGGACAGATTTGAATCTGGCAAGAAATGTTAATAATGGCACAATGCTGGCACGTTCCTCTCAAGACTACGTTTGAAATGGTCATTTTACGAGTTAAAGCTTGTTGGTATCCGGTCACGGTTAGAGGTCACGCAGCATTAATTGCATTAGTTAAAATTAACTTTATTAGTTTAATTAACTAAAATTAGTTTAATTAACTAATGCAATTAATTGCATTAATTGCATTAGTTAATTAAAAGCATTAATTGCGCCAATAACACCGGCTGGAAAGAATTGCCCACCTGTGAGAATCGGCCACCGGCTAATCGCTGTGACGAGCCCCGCAGTGCACAAGCTCAAAAGACGATTAATAACCAACTACATGAGATCAGAAACAACAGTAGTCTCCGCATAAAATCTTTTTAATGAAACATTTTTACAGTTTTAAATGTAAATATTTCACGTTTAAAGCTGGTATTTTATGCACAATTGCTACAAAATTTTTAAAAAGTATTTTATGCTTGAAAAGTATATTTACACAACTTTCAAAAGAATATACTGTGCGGTGAACCTG